ACGAACAGCAACTGGACGAAGCACGAATGCTCGGGAAATCTCCGTTCTCGGACGAAAAGAATGAGACACTGTTCTCAATTCTACCTTTATTTATTCGCTGCTTCCTCTTCAATGGTTAAATGCAGGATACTGAATGAAACATGAAATTTTTTTCCAGTTTAAATGATCTTTATTTTAGTTTAACTTGGACGATTACCATATAAATTTTTACTAAGTGATTTAATTGCTTTCTTCATCTTTAGGTATGGGCAAAATTCAAAATTTGTTTTACAGAATTAGTCCTAGACTTAGTACACGGTCGACCACCTTGGTGGGATTGGTTTGTTTTGTTTTTAGAATTTGAAGAGAAACTACTTAATACTACTATTTACAGCTTAAAACTAACCTACTCTACTATATACACTTAACCTACTATGTACAAATTGCTTATTAAAGCATGTTCAGAAAGATTGCATTTTTGAATAAATTTAGTTGTCATATCATCAATTTTGGAATCTACTTTGGGAATTTCTGCCTCTTGATGGAGGTCTGCTATTCTTGTGTCGAATGGACGATCTAGGATCATCCTCAACACTCTATTCTGTGCAACCTGGATTTTGTTCCTGTGGGTCTGAGCGCACGATTCCCACACCGGGGCGGCATAGAAGATCGCGGGGGCTATGATCTGTTTGTAGACAGCCAGTTTGTTTTGCCTTGAGAGGCGGGATCTGCGGCAAATGAGCGGATACAAACACCTAACCAAGGCGGAGCACTTAACTAGGGTTTTCTCTATGTGCGAGCGGAACAGGAGCTTCTCATCGAACAACATCCCGAGATAAGTAACATCAGTGGACCACTCGACCCTTGTACCATCCATTATTACGGTACAGGAGGGAAACGGTTTAAGTTTTAATGATTGTCTGTGAAGGAACATGATCGCTTGGGTTTTCGAGGCGTTGATTTTGATTTTCCACGTGGTGGCATAATCAGTAAAGGTGTCAAGGCATCGTTGGAGCTTGTTCGTAATTTCACGAGGCATCCTACCCTTGACGGCTATCGCGGTGTCATCTGCAAACAGAAAGAACACGCAACCGTCTCCTAGAGGAGGGATGTCCGACGTGTAGATGCTGTAAAGCAGTGGTCCCAGCAGACTCCCTTGCGGAACACCTGCTGGGATCGGAAATTGTCCCGAAAGGGAACTATTCAACGACACCCTGAACGACCTTTGCTGGAGATAGTTACGGGTGATTTTCACAAGGTATGGTGGAAAGTTGGAGTTACAAAGCTTGTATATAAGTCCGTCGTGCCAGACATTGTCAAACGCCTTTTCGACGTCTAACAAGGCCATGGCTGTGGACAGGGTGCCTTCCATTCATTTTGACTAAAAAAATGTTTTAATAAATTATGGAATAATAAGGTATTAAGAAAATATTTTGATTATGTAAACAACAAGAAAAGATTGTAAAGTTTGTGTTTGACACATAATATCTGCCAATTTTGCTACATGAGAGTCGCAATAAGCGATTTTGTAATTTATCTCATCCACTCTTCGCTCTTCACTCTTCGCGAAGAGGCGATCAGAAAAACGCTCATTGTGACTCTGTCAAAGCTAAATTTGCAGGTTTGATGTGTGAAACACTAACTTTACAATATTTTCTTATTACTAACACATTCAAAATATCATCATAATATCTTATTATTCCATAATTTCATAAAACATTTTTTTAGTCAAAATGAATGGAAGGCACCCTGGCTGTGGACTTGGATACAGCTTTGTTACTCCGGATGTTATTCATCACCCGCACTAGCTGATGATTGGTGGAATGCCCCTTACGGAACCCGAACTGTTCCGGAAGAAGAATGTCATGTTCCTCCACAAACTTGTTTAGTCGGCTGAGGATCAATTTTTCGAACAGCTTGCTCAGCGCTGAGAGCAGGCTAATCGGTCTGTAGCTTGACGGTAGTGAAGGGTCTTTCCCAGGTTTGCGGATCGGGATGATTTTTGCCACCTTCCAGATGCTTGGAAAGTAGTGCAGCTCCAAGCATCTGTTGAAGGTGGCAGCTAGCAGCGAGTGCACCCTCGGGCTGAGATTTTTCAACGCTAGGTTGAATATTCCGTCAAACCCGGGAGCCTTCATGTTCTTACTGTATTTCAGCGCTGAGCAAATTTGTTCCTCTGTAATCCGTTCTTCTGGAGGGACGGCACAAGGGGAGGCATCTAACGTCAGGACGCACTGCGCAACCTGGTTCTCGAGTGGACTTGGGATTTTAGAGCCAAGCAAATGCGACTGGGCAATGTGCTCCCCAATCGCATTGGCCTTCTCTTCGTTGGTGATAAGCCGTTCGTCATTGACTCTAAGTGGTGGAATGGGCTTGGGGTGAGACTTCAGCACCTTGGCAACCTTCCAGAATGGTCTGGAACGGTCGTCCAGGTTCTGAACGAGCCGCCCGAAACTCTCGTTCCGGATTGAGACCATTCTGGAAGCGATCTGCCGATTCAGATCGACCATTTCGTATTTACGCTGCAGATCCCCAGTCCGCTGAAACTGGCGTCTACGAACATTTCTGAGCCGAATCAAGAGTTTGGTGTGGGAATCAATTGCTTGAAACTTACCCCTCACAGGAACTCGTCGAACGCACTCTTCGTCAGCCACGGATATGGCTTGATGGAGACCCTCCAGGGCCCGGTCGATGTCCTCCACTGTGTCGAGCGGTGGGTTGTCGTTGATGTGGCGGTCGACCACGCGTCGAAACTGGACCCAGTTGACTCGATGGTAGTCCTTCCGCTGGCACGGTGCAGGGGCCACGTTGTAGCCCAGCTCGGTCAGCACCGGTTGGTGGTCCGAACTCAGGTCGTTGACGGCAACCGGCTTGGCTAATCTGGTGTTTGCCAAGAACAGGTCCAGCGTCGATGGGTTGCCCGTCGGTGATGTGAAGGTTGGTTCGTCCGGAAACCAGACGGAATAGAGACCATGCTGGGAATGGTCGAATAGCAGGCGGCCGTTCTGGTTCTGCTGGTAGTTCCGCCAGGCCTCGTGCCGGGCGTTCAGGTCCCCTCCGATTACGAAGCGGGCATTGGTGCGGGTTATGATGGCAAGGTCGTTCTTGAACTGCTGTGCTGTACCATTGCTAACGGTACATTGCCGGGGACAGTAGGCGGCGATGAACCGGATGTTTCCGGTCGATGTTTCCACCTCTACGCCGACGGCCTCGATGATGGAAGTGCGGTAGTGGGGTAGGGTGCAGTACTTGATGCCTTTCTTGATGATGACCGCGACACCGCCCCCCCTGGAGCTGGTGCGATCAAGCCGGACAATGCTGTGGTCGGGCAGCCAGAAGCTGTCACCGGTCTTGAGGTGGGTCTCGGTGAGGAGGCCCACGTCGATGTCGTGCTTGCGGAGGAAGTCTGCAAGCTCAATGTTTTTCGCCCCTACGGAGCGAGCGTTCCAGTTGGCGATCTTTATGGGTTCACGGTCCATAATTAGCGACGAAGGAGATGATAGCTTGGAGCTGTTGTGTTCTTGTTGCGCAGGTGCGCTTGATGATGATGGCCTGGGCCAACAGTGTGACGATCTCATCCGTTGACAGCGGAGAATCGTCTGTAGCTTCACCGGTTGTACCGGCCAATCCCGGAGCAGGGGGATCCGTCGATGGCCCGGAGGCTTGACCGGGTACTGCAGCGGCAGCCAACTGTTGGTTGAGCGGGAGCGGCGGCAACACTGGAATTGGTCGTGATTGGACCGGTGATAACGGAGGAAAGTTCTGCGCGTTGTTTTCTGGAACCTTCTTGCGACAGGGCTGGCTGTTGGACGAGGCCTTCTTCCGGATCTCGGCGTATTCGGCCCGCTTCGGACAGGCCTTACTCGTGGCCTTGTGGGCGGCACCGCAGTTGGCGCATGTGGGAGTGGCTTCCTCGATGCTGTCGCAGTTGTCGATCTTGTGGTTTTTGCCGCATTTGATGCAGCGGCTGGCCATGCGGCAATTCCTGGTGCCGTGCCCGAACAATAGGCAGTTCGAGCACTGAGTGACGCCACGGTGGGTCGGCTTATACCGCTCCCACTTCACTACGATGTGGAACAGTGTGCGTGTCGTCTGGAGATCCTTCACGGTTGTGGAGTTCTTCTCCAGATGGACCAGGTAGAGCTGGTCACGATACTTGATGGCCTTGCTGCGGGTCATCTTGTGGACTTCGACCGGCTTGAGGCCGTTCGCCTTAATCGCGTCCATTAAGGTGGTGGTGTCCATGTCGTGGAGCCCGCGCAGCACCACTTTCAGCGGCTTGGTGGCCTCGATGTCGTGGGAGAAGTACTCCAGCTTCATCCTGTCCAAGAGGGCCTGAACTGCGTTGAAGTGTTTTTCGGCCGGGACCATCAGTTTGTAGCCTTCCGTGCACCGTTGAATGGTGCAGCGAAGGCCCTGCTTAATGTAGAAATCCAGCTGCTCCCATAGCCCGGGAGGGAAGCCCTTCACATAGAAGGGTGGCAACTTAAATTTTTTCGGCACCGTCTCAGGGTCCGACTGCGGCTGGGCTCCGTTCTGCAGGGCCGAGAACGGATTGTTGCTCAGCAGCTTTTTTGCTGCTGATGCGGTGGCGCTGCTGTCTTCAGGTCTGGGTCGTTTAGTTCCTGGAGGCCCCGGCTGCGGGTCCGCAACGCCTGTCGGGATGGGCAATGGGGTTTTCTTCTGCTTCTTCTGGGCTGGCTCGGTGGTCGCGCCGTCTCCTGGGAGAGTCTGTTTTCCCGGTAAACCGGCACTCGCGTTACCGCGCGATTTCTTACCCATGGCTGGGTCAGCGAGAGCGTCACTACACAACGCGGAGCTAATTTGACTTGCGAACGAACGAACGAAACTAGAGAGAATTCAAATCGACTGAACTGCTCAACAGTCTGGCAGCGAATGCAAAAATCATAATGATGAAACATGAAATGCAATGTTGTTTACTTTTATACTCTTTCATCGGCTGCGTCAGCCAATCAGGATGCGCCATTCGATGACGTCGTTCGTTTTCCTATTGGAAGCGTTCATCGCGTACATACTCCCGCCGGTTGGAATACCATTCCAAAAGCGGAAATCTTCGATTGGTCGTTGTCGGTAATAGGAAGAGGCGCCAACTTCCGAATGGAGCGCCGGAATACTCCCGTTGCAGTCTTCACGTCGGCGACTCTGATCACGGCATCCCTTCCCGGGTAAAGTGCAACAATTTGACCCAACCTCCATGACTGAACTGGTAGATTGTCTTCCATCAGTAGCACAATAGTACCCATTTTCACATTCGGTTCACTTTTTGTCCACTTTGCCCTCGATTGAAGCGTTGATAGATAATCATGCGACCACTTTGCCCAAAACCGATCACGCAAATTGTTCATATACTGATAGCGAGACAGACGGTTCACTGCTACATCGGAGTACGACGGCTTCAAAATCGGTTCCAATGGTCTTCCAATCATCAAATGAGCAGGTGTTATCGGAAGCGGCTCGTTCGGGTCCTCAGACAGTGCATACAAGGGTCGTGAATTCACTATGGCTTCGATGTGGGTCAATACTGTTCCGAACTCCTCAAACGTCAAAATTGCGTTGCCCAAAGTACGATATATGTGGGACTTGACAACCTTTACTCCTGCCTCCCACAAACCCCCAAAGTTGGGTGATCTAGGCGGAATGAATTCCCACTCAATCTCTCGTTTGAGCAGAAAATCGTTGATCTTCGTTCTTGCGGTCTCGTCACGGAACATCAAGTACAATTTGTGGAGTTCTTTCGAAGCACCAATAAAATTGGTCGCGTTATCTGACATAATTTTACGAATCATTCCACGACGGTTGATAAAACGATCTAAAGCGGCGAGAAAAGCTTCGGTTGTCAAATCCGAAACCAATTCAAGGTGAATCGATTTCGTTGTTAGGCAGACAAACAGTGCAATGTATGCCTTTACGTGTTTCGGCTTATACCTTCCTTCTTTCACAATCACTGGGCCGGCGTAATCCACACCAGTGAGTTCGAACGCTGCTGCTACATTCACACGCTCCTCCGGCAAATTTCCCATTAAGGGCTGAATTCCTCTCGGCTTAGTCCTGAAACACTTTACGCAGCTTCGAGTCACTTTCCGGATGGCAGATCGAGCATTTACCAACCAGTACTTCTGCCTTATTGCTGCCAGCAAACCGGATGGCCCTTCATGAAGTCTCTCCTCGTGATATTGACGAATCAACATTTCCGTCACTCGGTGATTGCGTGGAAGAAGTAATTGGTGCTTGGCGTCATACGGTAATTTAGAGTTTTGTAGACGCCCGCCGACGCGAAGGAAACCTTCTTCGTCCAGGAATGGTTGAAGATTCGCCAATCGCTTCGGCAACTCCTTACGCTGAACACACTGGATCTCCTCGTTCAATCCGGTCCTCTGCAAAATCCTTACTATGTAATCCAATGCCTTCCGCATGTCTTGCACAGAAATGTATCTTGCATGTTTACGATTCTCCTTTTTCATTCGTATCAGTCGAGTGAATCTCACCACCTGCGCCAATACACGTTGCAGCTTGGAAAACGATCCGCACCGCTCGAATACCGGATCGTCTTCAACATCGACCGCTGGGTTACACACTTGAACTTGTCGCATTTCTGGTAACTCTTCATCTTGAATCACCGGAGTCTCCTGGATATCGTAGTTAACATCCTGCAGAAATAGTGGACCATTCCACCACATATCAGAACGATGCAACACACCAGGGTAACACCCTCTGGACACCAAATCCGCAGGATTATTCTCGGATCTGACGTACTTCCACTCGTAGGCACTAGTCAGTTTGTTAATATCCAAAACTCGGTTTCTGGCGTAGACTTGAAGTTGATCCGGATTCTTCTTTATCCATGCCAGCACAATTTGGCTATCAGACCACAGCTTGATATCGTGGAATTCGGTTTTCAGAATAGGAATCACTACACTAACCAGTTTGGCCAATACCACAGCGGCACACAGCTCTAATCTAGGTATTGTGAGACGACGCAGAGGGGCAATCCTTGACTTACTGCAAAGCAGCCTAACTGACACTGCCCCGTCCTCCTGAACACAACGCAAATAAACGCATGCACCATAAGCAGTACACGACGCATCAGAGAAGCCGTGAATCTCAATACGTTGAGCTCCAGGAGCCATAACACATCTCGGTATTCGTATCTCGTTCAGTTGTACCAATGACTGATGTAAGGTCACCCATCTACTCAACAACTCGCCCTCTAGGGTCTCGTCCCATCCCAGACCATCAGCCCACAATTGCTGCATGATGGACTTAGCCAAAACGATCACAGGTGATACGAGGCCAAGGGGATCAAACAGTTTGGCGATTTGAGAGAGAACATACCTTTTAGTCACCTTCACATCCGGTTGCATCACTTCCGGGCTTCTCCAAAACAGGAACTGATCACATCTTGGGTCCCACAGAACACCTAAAGCTCGAATCGCTTCGTTGGTACCAGAATCTCCTATTCGAACTAGCTTTTCACGGTCTTGATCCGGAACACCTTCAAGAATGTCGTCGTCGTTGGTACACCATTTTTGGATAGGAAATTTTCCTTTCATCATAACCTCCTCGATATCACTTCGCAGTTGCTTCGCGGATGTAAGTGTTGGGGCACCACTCAATATATCGTCCATGTAGCAGTCCTCTAATATCGCCTCTGCAGCTGCAGGAAAGTTGGCTCTTTCCTCTCTCGCTAGTTGAACCATGGACCTCACTGCCAAAAACGATGCAGGAGACGTCCCGTAGGTCACCGTTAACAACTCCATCACTTTTATCGGGTCCATCGGTTGGTCACGCCAGAAAGTTCTGTGGTAATGTGTCTGTCTTGGATCAAGTTTCACTTGTCTAAACATTTTCTCAACGTCTCCAGAAAATGCATATATGTGCATCAGGAAACGTAATTGGATTGTGAACCGATCGTTCTGAATCTTCGGGCCAATCATCAAAACTTCGTTGAGGGATAATCCGTTAGACTTCACCTTGGCGTCAAATACAACACGTAACTTTGTGCTGGTACTCGTAGGTTTAAGTACAGCATGATGTGGCAAATAGTAGCTCTGTCGGCCAGGCGGATCGTCATCCTCACGGATCTCGTGGCAATGACCAAGGTCTTTGTACTCCTGCATAAACTCTTGGTACATCTCTTTCATCTCGGGTTTATTGGTTAAATGTTTCTCAATTGACAGGAACCTCTTCAACGCTAATGATCGGGAGTTTCCTAGTTCATTGATGGACTCACGGAACGGTAGTTGAACCACGAATCGGCCATCCTCATCTCGTCGATAAGTTTTGCAGAAGTGATCTTCTATCGCTTGCTCTTCATTCGTCAGGACTTTTTCTTCTGGAAGTTCTTCTTGCTCGAAAAACCTCTGAATGCTCTTCAGCAACAGATCCTCATTTGTGGCGCACAGCACATTGACGACTTCCTCCTCGGACTCTTCTAAAGCACCGGCAATAACCCATCCGAACTGAGTCTCGTACAGTACGGGTAGATTATCAGAGAGTTTCAGCTGAGCTTGTTTCAGGATTTTGAAGAACAGCTCGGCACCGATCAGTAGGTCCACTTCTCTCGGTTCGTTGAAGCTTGGATCGGCCAACACAATACCACTCGGGAACTTCCACTCCGAGATGTCAACTGGAACAGATGGAATCTTTCCTGTCACTCTAGCTGTCACCAAACAGTCCATGTCACTTTGGAAATCGGTGTAGTCGGAGAAACACTTCAGGATCACACGATGATGAATTTGAGATCTGGCGCCACCCACTCCTACGACTGGCACGTTGGCAGGATACTTCGGAAGCGCTAGCAGTTTTACAGCAGATTCAGAAACCAGGTTGATCTGAGACCCGGAATCGAAGAGAGCACGCAACTTGAAGTTCCTTCCACTCTTTGACGTAACATTCACCAATGCGGTCATCAAAAACACTTGTTTCACTCGTTGTTGCATACTGGAACAGGCTATAGACACAGGATCCTCAGGAACAGCTGCTGCTGTCTGCATCTCCTGCGGCTTGGATGTTCCACCTGGAGTTTTCTGCTTCGGCTCAGCTTGGGATACCTGCTCGAAGTGCAACATGGTATGATGCTTTTTGGAACACCTCGAGCATGACTTATCTGATGGACAAGCCCTGATTTGATGGCCTTTCCTAAGACAGTTGAAACATAGTCCGATTTGCTTCACCTTGGTAACACGCTGATCAACACTCATGCTCAAGAAAGAAGGACACTTGTAATTGCAGTGTTGACCCGCGCATATTTCACACACATTCTCCGGTGAACTGGATGTTGCTGGATTGGAGGTTCTTTGCGATGAGCTGGTTTTCCCCATCATAGGAGGCTTAACAGCTGCCTTAGCTGAGGACGCCTTGTCTACTTCACATCTCTCAAGTACCTGGCAATAACTTCTTAGGAACTTCATGGATTCTTCGAGGTCAGGAAGTTCTCCGTGCTCCATGGTGAGCTCCCACTGCTTCCGCGTTTCTCCATCAAGGCACATTGTAAGTAGCTTCACCACGATTAGACCGGCTGTTCCAACAACCTCCTGCTCCATGAACCGCAATCCTTCCACGTGGCGATTGCATGTATCGATAAGGTTCCTTAGCTCCTTGAAGCTTTGTTTGGCTATCGGTTTCATCGACAATAAACCGGAAATATGGGTGTCAATAATCACTCTCGGATTTTCAAAGCGCTCCTCTAACAACTCCCATGCTTGCTGATAGTTGTTGTCGTTGATAATTCTGGCATTAAGGATACCAGAAGCTTCACCGATCAGCGCCTTGTCCAGGTATTGCAGTTTAGTTGCATCGGAGTCGCCACACTTTCGGATCAAGTCATTGAAGAGAGCTTTGAATTTTGGCCAACCTTCGTACTTCCCATCGAAGGTTGGGATCGGCGTCTTCAGAGGTTGCTGAGTCACAATCACTTGGGGAACTCCATTATTAGGTTGTGGATCAGCACGAAGTAGCTCCAACAGTTGATTCAGCTTCACTAACGCCTCCGTGTGCAGCTCGTCGAACTCGTCCAACTTATTGTCCTGATCCTCCATGTTTTCACTAGTACACTGAGTCACGATTAAGTCATGCTTCACCGCATACTCCGAATAATGTAGTTCCAATTTCTTCTCATAAGCCTTCAACTGGGAAACGCTCGCTGTTTCAGGTTCATCCATAGCTTCGTTTAGCTTCTGGACGATCATTGTCACTCGCGCCTTTACTTGTCCTCGTTGATGAATTAATTGCTTCAATTTCGTCATGATTACACTTTTCACTACAGTTCACTCTCAACACTCACAGTTTTTAAGGGTACTACTGTACTACGATCGTAGGTTTCAACACTTTTTACTCATTCGGGCACAAACTCGTTGGAAGGAAGGGTCACGAATATTCGCGGATGGACGTATCACACCGGTTGATATCCGGCTCGAAGGACCAAATGTTATGTACTCAATTTCTCTTGGGGTAGATTCATTGCCCTTACCACAACAGCACAGACGAAAACCTACGTTGTGATCGAGCCACCGACAGCTATGCACTTCACAGCCACCAGCGACGGATCGAAGAGTCACCGTTGGCTATACACGCTACAGCCACCAGCGACGGGATGCCTCTCTCAACGAAGGACCACGACACAACTCGTGATCAAGCCACCGACAGCTGTGCACCTCACAGCCACCAGTAGTGGGACGATGAGCCACTGACAGCTGTGCACACCACAGCTACCAGCCAAGGGACGATGCACCGTTGGCTGCGCACACCACAGCGGACAGCGTAGGAACGATGGGTCGCTGATAACTCTTCAGCCACCAGTCGTTGAGCTGCCAACAGCTGTAACCACTACAGCCACCAGCGCAGTAAACCTCTCTCTCTCTCTCTCGAAGGACCACGGCAAAACTGCCGAACACAAGGCTCCGATGAGCAGGGAAACGGGAAAGTTCAACTCTTTTTAAAGTGTCCACTAGGTGGAACTTATGGAAGATGAATCGATCACCACATGCAACCAGTGGATGAACGAACAGCAACTGGACGAAGCACGAATGCTCGGGAAATCTCCGTTCTCGGACGAAAAGAATGAGACACTGTTCTCAATTCTACCTTTATTTATTCGCTGCTTCCTCTTCAATGGTTAAATGCAGGATACTGAATGAAACATGAAATTTTTTTCCAGTTTAAATGATCTTTATTTTAGTTTAACTTGGACGATTACCATATAAATTTTTACTAAGTGATTTAATTGCTTTCTTCATCTTTAGGTATGGGCAAAATTCAAAATTTGTTTTACAGAATTAGTCCTAGACTTAGTACACGGTCGACCACCTTGGTGGGATTGGTTTGTTTTGTTTTTAGAATTTGAAGAGAAACTACTTAATACTACTATTTACAGCTTAAAACTAACCTACTCTACTATATACACTTAACCTACTATGTACAAATTGCTTATTAAAGCATGTTCAGAAAGATTGCATTTTTGAATAAATTTAGTTGTCATATCATCAATTTTGGAATCTACTTTGGGAATTTCTGCCTCTTGATGGAGGTCTGCTATTCTTGTGTCGAATGGACGATCTAGGATCATCCTCAACACTCTATTCTGTGCAACCTGGATTTTGTTCCTGTGGGTCTGAGCGCACGATTCCCACACCGGGGCGGCATAGAAGATCGCGGGGGCTATGATCTGTTTGTAAACAGCCAGTTTGTTTTGCCTTGAGAGGCGGGATCTGCGGCAAATGAGCGGATACAAACACCTAACCAAGGCGGAGCACTTAACTAGGGTTTTCTCTATGTGCGAGCGGAACAGGAGCTTCTCATCGAACAACATCCCGAGATAAGTAACATCAGTGGACCACTCGACCCTTGTACCATCCATTATTACGGTACAGGAGGGAGACGGTTTAAGTTTTAATGATTGTCTGTGAAGGAACATGATCGCTTGGGTTTTCGAGGCGTTGATTTTGATTTTCCACGTGGTGGCATAATCAGTAAAGGTGTCAAGGCATCGTTGGAGCTTGTTCGTAATTTCACGTGGCATCCTACCCTTGACGGCTATCGCGGTATCATCTGCAAACAGAAAGAACACGCAACCGTCTCCTAGAGGAGGGATGTCCGACGTGTAGATGCTGTAAAGCAGTGGTCCCAGCAGACTCCCTTGCGGAACACCTGCTGGGATCGGAAATTGTCCCGAAAGGGAACTATTCAACGACACCCTGAACGACCTTTGCTGGAGATAGTTACGGGTGATTTTCACAAGGTATGGTGGAAAGTTGGAGTTACAAAGCTTGTATATAAGTCCGTCGTGCCAGACATTGTCAAACGCCTTTTCGACGTCTAACAAGGCCATAGCTGTGGACTTGGATACAGCTTTGTTACTTCGGATGTTATTCATCACCCGCACTAGCTGATGATTGGTGGAATGCCCCTTGCGGAACCCGAACTGTTCCGGAAGAAGAATGTCATGTTCCTCCACAAACTTGTTTAGTCGGCTGAGGATCAATTTTTCGAACAGCTTGCTCAGCGCTGAGAGCAGGCTAATCGGTCTGTAGCTTGACGGTAGTGAAGGGTCTTTCCCAGGTTTGCGGATCGGGATGATTTTTGCCACCTTCCAGATGCTTGGAAAGTAGTGCAGCTCCAAGCATCTGTTGAGGATGGCAGCCAGCAGCGAGTGGACCCTCGGGCTGAGATTTTTCAACGCTAGGTTGAATATTCCGTCAAACCCGGGAGCCTTCATGTTTTTACTATATTTCAGCGCTGAGCAAATTTGTTCCTCTGTAATCCGTTCTTCTGGAGGGACGGCACAAGGGGAGGTATCTAACGTCTGGACGCACTGCACAACCTGGTTCTCGAGTGGACTTGGGATTGTAGAGCCAAGCAAATGCGATTGGGCAATGTGCTCCCCAATTGCATTGGCCTTCTCTTCGTTGGTGATAAGCCGTTCGTCATTGACTCTAAGTGGTGGAATGGGCTTGGGGTGAGACTTCAGCACCTTGGCAACCTTCCAGAATGGTCTGGAACGGTCGTCCAGGTTCTGAACGAGCCGCCCGAAACTCTCGTTCCGGATTGAGACCATTCTGGAAGCGATCTGCCGATTCAGATCGACCATTTCGTATTTACGCTGCAGATCCCCAGTCCACTGAAACTGGCGTCTACGAACATTTCTGAGCCGAATCAAGAGTTTGGTGTGGGAATCAATTGCTTGAAACTTACCCCTCACAGGAACTCGTCGAACGCACTCTTCGTCAGCCACGGATATGGCTTGATGGAGACCCTCCAGAGCCCGGTCGATGTCCTCCACTATGTCGAGTGGTGGGTTGTCGTCGATGTGGCGGTCGACCACGCGTCGAAACTGGACCCAGTTGACTCAATGGTAGTCCTTCCGCTGGCACGGTGCAGGGGCCACGTTGTAGCCCAGCTCGGTCAGCACCGGTTGGTGGTCCGAACTCAGGTCGTTGACGGCAACCGGCTTGGCTAATCTGGTGTTTGCCAAGAACAGGTCCAGCGTCGATGGGTTGCCCGCCGGTGATGTGAAGGTTGGTTCGTCCGGAAACCAGACGGAATAGAGACCATGCTGGGAATGGTCGAATAGCAGGCGGCCGTTTTGGTTCTGCTGGTAGTTCCGCCAGGCCTCGTGCCGGGCGTTCAGGTCCCCTCCGATTACGAAGCGGGCATTGGTGCGGGTTATGATGGCAAGGTCGTTCTTGAACTGCTGTGCTGTACCATTGCTAACGGTACATTGCCGGGGGCAGTAGACAACGATGAACCGGACGTTTCCGGTCGATGTTTCCACCTCAACGCCGACGGCCTCGATGATGGAAGTGCGGTAGTGGGGTAGGGTGCAGTACTTGATGCCTTTCTTGATGATGACCGCGACACCGCCCCCCCTGGAGCTGGTGCGATCAAGCCGGACAATGCTGTGGTCGGGCAGCCAGAAGCTGTCACCGGTCTTGAGGTGGGTCTCGGTGAGAAGGCCCACGTCGATGTCGTGCTTGCGGAGGAAGTCTGCAAGCTCAATGTTTTTCGCCCCTACGGAGCGAGCGTTCCAGTTGGCGATCTTTATGGGTTCACGGTCCATAATTAGCGACGAAGGAGATGATAGCTTGGAGCTGTTGTGTTCTTGTTGCGCAGGTGCGCTTGATGATGATGGCCTGGGCCAACAGTGTGACGATCTCATCCGTTGACAGCGGAGAATCGTCTGTAGCTTCGCCGGTTGTACCGGCCAATCCCGGAGCAGGGGGATCCGTCGATGGCCCGGAGGCTTGACCGGGTACTGCAGCTGCAGCCAACTGTTGGTTGAGCGGGAGCGGCGGCAACACTGGAATTGGCCGTGATTGGACCGGTGATAACGGAGGAAAGTTCTGCGCGTTGTTTTCTGGAACCTTCTTGCGACCGGGCTGGTTGTTGGACGAGGCCTTCTTCCGGATCTCGGCGTATTCGGCCCGCTTCGGACAGGCCTTACTCGTGGCCTTGTGGGCGGCACCGCAGTTGGCGCATGTGGGAGTGGCTTCCTCGATGCTGTCGCAGTTGTCGATCTTGTGGTTTTTGCCGCATTTGATGCAGCGGCTGGCCATGCGGCAATTCCTGGTGCCGTGCCCGAACAATAGGCAGTTCGAGCACTGAGTGACGCCACGGTGGGTGGGCTTATACCGCTCCCACTTCACTACGATGTGGAACAGTGTGCGTGTCGTCTGGAGATCCTTCACGGTTGTGGAGTTCTTCTCCAGATGGACCAGGTAGAGCTGGTCACGATACTTGATGGCCTTGCTGCGGGTCATCTTGTGGACTTCGACCGGCTTGAGGCCGTTCGCCTTAATCTCGTCCATTAAGGTGGTGGTGTCCATGTCGTGGAGCCCGCGCAGCACCACTTTCAGCGGCTTGGTGGCCTCGATGTCGTGGGAGAAGTACTCCAGCTTCATTCTGTCCAAGAGGGCCTGAACTGCGTTAAAGTGTTTTTCGGCCGGGACCATCAGTTTGTAGCCTTCCGTGCACCGTTGAATGGTGCAGCGAAGGCCCTGCTTAATGTAGAAATCCAGCTGCTCCCATAGCCCGGGAGGGAAGCCCTTCACATAGAAGGGTGGCAACTTAACTTTTTTCGGCACCGTCTCAGGGTCCGACTGCGGCTGGGCTCCGTTCTGCAGGGCGGAGAACGGATTGTTGCTCAGCAGCTTTTTTGCTGCTGATGCGGTGGCGCTGCTGTCTTCAGGTCTGG